CATGAATGTTTCTGAATTTTGAGTTTATTTCATTCACTTCTCCATTTGAAATGAAAACAACTTAGTTCTTTTAAAGGATATCTCTGAACTTTCTGATAGTTTCTCTATTCATAACTCATTGTATTTTTTTTACTTTATAAATAAATATTATCAACATTAGATATAAATGTTTATACATTATAATCAATTAATACTAACCTATTATATCTTAATGTAATAATATCAAACATTTCCTCTTTTCTTTGCCAAATTTCAGCCATTTTGTGATTTGAACTTTTGAGGGTGTGTTTTGTAATTTTTAAACTTTGATAGTTGTAGGCTGTCTAAAAATCACAATAGATAGCTAATCCCTATCAAGATTCAATGATGAAAGTTACAATCAGATGACTTTCATGCCGACAAATGAAAGCTGCAAATGGATGACTTTTCACATAGAGCGAGAAGAGTTACAATTTAACGACACTTTCGATAACTGATGAAAACTCTATTCAGTGATCTTCACAATCAACAATGAGAGTTACAATCTGACGACTTTCATGACCCAAAACAGCTAAAGTGAGGATTACTGAACAATGGTCCTTGCAACGCTCTACAGAAGAGATTACAAGTCAACTAACCCCTTCTAAACGCGGAATTCATCCTCACATTCTAATTTTTGAAACGTAGGCGACTCCCGCGTTTCCAAACCGCAATAAGCGAAACGTAAGCGGCCCTCGCGTTTTTGAGGTTCGGTCAATACCCAACTCCGCGTCTCAATTCTAAGACGCGAAGTTAGGGTCCTGAACGCCAAATTGGGCATTTGACTCATTCAAACATGGGTCGAATGGTTTCAGAACTGTTTTCCCATGATCTGAGGAAATCACGCCCACTCAGGAGCTGATTAAGGGGGCAGTTACAACCCCTTATCCTCCTATAAAATCTCAACTAATTCAACAGAGAAAAGGGGTTCGGAGATTGGAGATTTCGGCTAGATTTCGAAGATCAAATCATCTACGAAATCAGCACAATAGAGTTCTTGGCAGTTAGGAGATCGGATTCTTCAGCAACAAACAAATCTATTTGGCTTATTAACCGATTCTTCGGTTTTAACAGCTCTTTTCACAGAGTTTCAACTCGCTCGAAGTTCTAAAACTCGTTAAGAGTTATTCAACAAACTTACCATGTAAGTTAATTGTTCCTACGAGACAAGACAGTCGGATCGTCAACGGAGAGCAAATTCGACGCAAGCATTAGAAGGAGGCACTCCATCGCTACCGAGAAGAACCCAGTTTTAAACAAAGAGGAGAATCCAAATCATTCTTCTCTATTTTGTAATTAAGAAATCCAATTGTAATTGAGATCAAAGGAATACAAATTAATTTTTTTTATTTCTTTTTACTACGAATTTTCCACAAACAATAGTATTTTATTAAAATTTTAAATTTTAAGTTGGGCGCTTATAATTTTCATGTTTCATGTATTGGTGATAAATTTTTAAATGTTAGAATATTTCTCGTAACTCTGAAAATTTGAAGGTATTTTTATAATTACTAAACTTTTGGGTTGTTTTTTAAAAAATTTAAATTTTTAGCAATCTGCTGATAATTTCTAAATTTGATGTGTACCAGTTATAAGTTTTAAAATTTTTAATAATTTTTTACTTTTGAGGTTATTATTTTTGTAACTTTGAGGCTATTTTTTACTAATTTTAAATTTCTATGTGTCTAATGGTAATCCCCAGAATCCATCTATGTTGTTTCTAAGTTTTGAAATCTCTGAATTTTAGAATGTTTTTTTATAATTTAAACATGGTTAAATGACACTTATATACCATATTGTTTTGCTCTTGTAGTAGTTATATACCCTAAGTTATAAAACATAGCAAAAAAATACCTTGAGTTGGTAACTGTTTAAATTTAGCTAACAGTGTTAAAAATACATGAAAGGACAATAATGCCACTCCTTAGGAAAAACTCTTATTTTCTAATGTTACTCATATTAAAGAGGAAGAAGTTGGAAGCCACGAAAAGAAGAAAATGATGATGAAAATAATCTAATTTGCGGGGGTGGGGGTGGGGGAGGTAGGTAATACAGTAAATAATACAATAAATGAGGGTAAGAAGTATTCAAGTTGGTCATAGGTCCAGCACGTGGGAATATTCCAGAGAATATTCTCACAGCTAGTCAATAAAAGGTACTAACTTGTAAAAATTTTCCAACTCAGAGTATTTTTTGCTATATTTTGTAACTTAGGGTATATAACTGCTTCAAGAGCGGAACACATAGGGTATATAAATGTAATTTAGCATTTAAACTTTTAAGGTTATTTCTATAATTTTTAAAATATTGAGGGTGTTAATTACAAGTTTTAAATTTTTAGATATCATGTTTGTTTTTAAGTTTTAAAAAGTCAATGTGTTTTGTGTAATTTTAAAATTTTAAGGCTATTATATGCAATTTTTGAAACATTTGGGTTTTTTTAATAATACTTCATGTATTATAATATGTTATCTACGTATAATTTCTTAATCTTATTTTTTCTATATTTTTGAGCTATAGGTAGTTTATATGGAGTTAATATAGGATATAATTAGTATTTGAATAGATTAAGATTTAAGTGAAATACTCAAAATAATTTTTTTAAATTGTTGACCTATAGATAGTTCACGTGGAATTAGATAAGATATGAATAAAATTAGAATAGATTAAGATAACAATGTAATATTTTAAAAAAGTTTAGGGTAATACTAACTATAGAAAGATTTTCCAGAACTCGTGCTATTAAAGGGGGTATTATTTGATGGTGTTAAATAGATCTGACACCTCTCGTTTTGGTTTGTAAACAAGCCCTTTTTCTAATAATTCCCAATTTTTGCAAAACCACGAAGCTTTAGCTTTTGAGATATTACGTTATTTGTCAAGCATGACTCCGCGTAAAATACCAGCTCGGATCCTACCAAACTGAAATCGGATAACTAATAATAATTTATAAAGATAATAATGTATAATAACAAGTGGATCTTAGGATAATAGGATTCCCAACTGAGTTGTAAAAGGATTTTATTTGTAAAAATAAAAATTATTACTTTCATTTTCACAAGTAAATCAAAGTGACTTTAGATATCACTTGTTTAAACGCACAACCACGATACAAAAATCGCAAGTAGAGCGTGCACATCGATAAGTGTCTTTAGCGTACGAAATTTCAAATATCCAAATGGCTTTTATTGAGATGAATATTCATGTAATTAGCTTCACTCGTTCTTCAACAATGTTCATCTACTTATTTATCTACTTATAACCTTTCACTGGTCACTTACATTTTTTTGATCCTCAATACCCACACTAGAATACTAAATTTTAGTGGGGCTGGGGATCCAAATCTAATACTATTCTTAAACAAAATAACTTTATAATTCTTAGGATGGTGCTACAGAGACCCAAAAACATAGAACCCTGCATGAGACAGGTGATGTGTCGGCTACTTGTCACATGATGCACTTTTAATAAACAGTGCATCATGAGACGGGGAGTCCACACATCACCGTCCTATTCTCATATGGGTCCCTAACACATTTTTTTAATTCTTAAGATTAAAAACTAGTCTCTTATTATTTAAAAAAAAATTTTGGTGTCAGTGGCCGTAGATGCTGAGAATCTAGATTGAGGCCTTTCCAGGAGCTGCGGGGCCCACTTGCGTGAACTTTGACGGCCGTCGCCTCCCGTTGGGAAAAGCAACGTAGGAATATCTTGACCACCGAAAAAGCGACGGCAGGCAGACGTTGACCGCTTGTTCCGCTGGTGGGCCCCGAT